AACCTATCTTCCCCTCTAGCCTACAGTAGAAGCTCAAATGCAGTTAAACCACCTGTCCTAGAAACGAGGTAGAGGAAATGAGACAAAATGGCAGTGGCACAGAGATAAGAGCCAGAAGGCTCGGGTTCTAGGCAGGATTATGCTGCTAAATCTGTGTGACCTTGGTTATACCAATCTTCTTCTCTAGGCTTCAGTTTCCTCATTTACAAAATGAAAGGGCCAACAGTGTGGTCTCTAAATACAGTATCTCACTAAAAGCATCCAGAGCTCTGGCTAAACGGCAGTAAATGTACAAGATGAGTCTGGAACATATTTACACTAGAAAGCAAGAAACACTATCAAAGACTACTGCAATTACATCAAAAGGAATCAGCAGTCAACTTGAAGAGGCTCTTCCTGGTCCAAGATGGAACTGAACATCAGTAAGATAACAAGAATGGATTAAAACATATCAAATATGTTAAAACCATAAATTCATGATAACACTTAAAAATAAACCCACTGATCGCCTTTGGAATATGGCAGGTAATCAACTCATAATTTTGAAAACTTGTAAATAAACAAAGTGAAAGAATCAAGTATTCATCCTGCCTCTCCTGTACAAATCAAACTTCAGTATTACTAGAGTTGATAAGGGGCAGTTTTTCTTTTTGAAGTACTCCAGCTAATAAATGAAGAAAGAATAATATAGTTAGAATATCACCATTCTGCAGACATCTAACAAAGAATCTAGGTAATCATTATCCATTACCACTTACAACACAAAACAGACTGTTACAGAACCTGGACTGGATCACCAGTCAGAAGAACCAAACGGCACTAGGAGGTCTTGGAAGATGGAGGTTTATTTCACAGGGGTGGGCTCAGAGAAGGCTGATCTCCAAAGGTCTGAGCCCCTAGCACAGGCAAGGGGAGCAATTTATACTTTTCTACTTCCATATATGTGGCACTTTGGTGTGCACAGCAAGCAGGGCGGAAGAAGAACATGGAAGAGTCCCAAGGTGGGGAAGGGCAGAGATTCCCCAATGGGCCCTGTTGGCCATGTTGAATACTTTCCTCATCAAGACATCTGGATATTATAAGCTTCCTAATGGAAGCATTACTGCCAAAGCTGGCATCTGATTCAGGTCAAGCCTCTAGAGCTGTGTTATCCAACAGGTAGCCATTATACACATGTAGCTATTGAGCATTTGAAACGTGGCTCATGTGCATTGATATGTGCTGTAAGTGTAAAACACACTGAATCACAAAAACTTAGTATTAAAGAATGTTTTAAAATATTACATTAATAATTTTTTATCTTCATGTTGAAATAATAGTTTGCAACTATTGATTGATAAAAAATTATTAAAATGAATTTCATCTGTTTCTTCTTACATTTATAATGTGCCTACTTGAAAATTTAAATTTCTTTCAAGGCTTGAATATTTCTATTAGACAATGCTGCTCTAGATCTAACCATCAGTTTACAGGGAATACAAGGGATAGAGGAACATAAATGAATCATAGAAATTTGATCAGCAAAATCCAGAATGGGAAAATCTACAAAACAACTTGCTTTCTTCAACAGCAACAACAATACACAAGAAAAAGGAGGCAAAAGAACTACAGATTTAAAGAGACTTGGGAACCATTTAAACCAAATCAATGTATGGACCCTTTTTGGAACCTGGTTCAAATAAACCAAATGTTTAGAGAGAAAGGGGGCCAGAAATGAAGGGAGAGAGGGAGAAGTGAAAGCAACTGTGGGAATTTCAACATTAATTGGATTTGATGATGTACTGTGTGTTTTAAAAAATAAATTATATTTTATCATTAGAGCTACAGAATGAAATTATTTACAATTTATATATGATATGATGTCTGGGGCTTGTTTCAAAAGAATTCAAGGAGAGTAGGTGGCGCTACAGATGAAACAAGATTGACTATGAGATGACAACCACTGAAGCCTAGTGATGGTCATATAGGGATTCATTAGATCATTCTCCTTTTATTTTTACATGTTTGAAATTTTCTATATATTTTTTTAATGAGAGCAAAGTTTAAACACTTTCAGCTCTTCAATCTACAAAAATCCTAAATCCTGAGGTTGGCTAATAACTCACGAGACCATTCAATCTAGTTTTGTGCCTCCAGGTACATTATCTGTATTATCTCACTCAAGAAATATTTATTGAGTAACTACTAAGTACAAAGGCGTTAGCACTGTAGAAGACAAAGAGATACAAGGAAGTTTAAGGGGTTTAGCCATAAAGGAGAGATGAAAAAAGTACATACATACAAAATAGAGTAAGAAGTGATGAAATTATGGTTTACTCCTGGTTGAGTAAATCACAGAAGGCATCACAGAAGAGTATCATATAACTGAGCATTAAAAATAGGATTTGGACATGCAGAGAAAAGGAATATTTCTGAGGTGGACAGAAGTGTAAGCAGAGGCACATAAGCAGAAAATGAGACATGTCTGGGTAATGAAGGAAGATGAGTACACGACTGCAAAAGTAGTGGGATTGGAAACACAAGTAGGAACAGATCACAGAATTTCAAGTATCAGGATGAGTTTGTACTTCAGTCAATGAGTGATTGATTGCGAGTCACACAACTGGAGTTATACATAACAGAATATTTAGAAGATGCCATATATTTTACGTAAGCAAAGTAGAACAGAATGGAGCTGGGGAGGGAAACTGCAATTAGGGACAACAGTCACAGCAAAAGGTAACAAAGAACCTGAAGTTAGGTAGTAGGGAAAAACGGAGGGACCTGGGAGTGTGTTGGCATGAAAAGAAATAGGCAGTTCAGGGAAGTCAATAGTAACTAAGCCTTACACCTGGATAAACTGGGAAAATAGTGGAGCGAAAGTTTGGTATGCTGCCAGATGCCAGACCTGTACCAGCTCTGAAACGTGCTGAACAAATGACTGAGGGAATTAATAAATAGAAATATGTGAATCAGGATAAAGGACAGCAAGTCAGGGACCAGAGGGAAGGAGGATGAGCAGAGGATAAGCTTTAGCCTTCTTGTTTTAACCCATGAGGAAGTCAAGATTCTGAAGGAAAATGTTTTCCAGGTGTGCTAAGCATCTTAGAAAAGCAAAGGTTCATCATTAAAGCCTGTATTTAAGGTATAAAATCCATCTTTAAACCCTGTGAACATATCTCCCAAGCAAGGAGAAGACAAGCTGTACTAATCTGACCACCGGATCCCAAAAGAAAACAGTCCATGAAAAGCTGGAGGTGCAGAAGGGATATCCAGGTGGAATGATCCAATAGGAAATCTGGGGTTCAGATCTGGAAGTTACTACATGGAGGTTGTAGTTAAAGAGGAGACAGAAAATGACCTCCCAAAACAAAGGCATGAACAGAAATGCAAGGTCAAAGGACAGCTTGAAGCCTGACAAAGGAAGCATCAAGGAAGGCAGAAGGGAGAACCAGAACAATGCTTTGTCATAAAAGCTAAGAGAAGTTTCCAGAAGGAAAGCATGCTCCATCCTTGTCTCCTTCCTTAAACCACATATCTAATCTGTCCAGTCCTATCAGCTCTAAATCCAAAATATGTACTATATACATTACTTCTCTCCATTTCTTTTTCCACCAACCTAATTCAAGTTTCTATTATTACCTGGACTCTGCAATAGCCTTCTGTTACTCACCTCAATCAATCCCTGTCCCCAGATAACCATTTTCTTTGCAGCAACTGGATTAATCTTTTAAAAATTGAAATCATCCCATATACCCACCTCTACCTCCCCACTTAAGATTTTTTAAGTGACTGGACATCATTTAAAGACACTGGAGTGTGACAATGCTAATATAATTATGTTCCAATGGGGGAAAAATTTTTATTTTAGAGATAAATGCTGAAATATTTAAAAGTGAAATGGGATCTGCTTCAAAAATAATGATAAACACATCTGAACTTATTTTATAAGGCTAGTATTACTATGATATCAAAACAAGATCAGAAAAAAAGACTATGGTGTCCACTCTCATCACTTCTGTTTAACACTATACTGGAAGTTCTAGCCAGGGCAATTAGGCAAGGAAAAAAAAGGCATGAGAATGGTAAAGCAGTAAGACTCTCTGTATTGTATATGATCTTGTATACCTAGAAAATGCTAAGGAATACACAAAAAAACTGATAAAACCAAGGTATTAGAATATAAGATCAATATATTAACTCAATTGTACTTTTTATAGAGTAGCAATAAACCATCAAAAATAAAATTAAGAAAACAATTCCATTTATGATAGCATCAAAAAGAATGAAATCCTTCTGAATAAAGTTAACAAACAAGTGCAAGACTTGTACACTAAAGACTACAAAACAGAAAAAGTTTAGTCCTAAATAAATGAAATGACATCCCATATTAATAGACTGGAGGACTTAATATTGTTAAGATGGCAAGAGTCCCCAGATTAATCTATGGATTCAATGAAAATTCTATTGAAATTCCAGCCAGCTTTTTTGCAGAAACTGACAAGCTGAGCCTAAATTCATACAGAAGTGCAAGGGACTCAGCATGGCCAAAACAATACTGAAAAAGAACAAGTTGAAGGACTCACACTATTTTATTTCAAAATTTTCAATAGGACTACAATAATCAAGACTGTGTGGTACTGGCATAAGAAGAGATATTTAGATCAATGGAAGAGAATTGAGATCCAGAAATAAACCCATGCATCTATTTATGGCCAACTGATCTCTGACAAGGATGTTCTCAATAGGGAATGAATTGTCTTTTCAACAAATGGTGCTGGGACAGCTAGATTTTCATATGCAACAGAATAAAGTTGGATGCCTACCTAAGACCATACACAAAATTTAACTCAAAATGGATCAAAGCCCTAACCATAAGATCTAAAAGTATAAAGCACTTAGAAGAAAACACAGGTGTAAATCTTTAGTTTCTTACTTGCCTAAAGCACCTAAAAGCACAAACCAAAGCAAAAATAGATAAACTGTACTTCATCAAAATTAAAAACTTTTGTGCTTTGCAGGGCATGATCAAGAAAATGAAGACAACCCACAGAAATGGAAGAAACATTTGCGCATCATACCTGGTAAGACTTATATCTAGAATATACAAAGAACTATTACAACTCAATATTAAAAGGACAAATGACCCAATTTAAGAAATGGGTAAAGCCTTTAGACATTCTCCAAAGATACACAAATAGCCAACACACACATGAAAAGACAATCAACATCACTAATCATTAGGGAAATGCAAATCAAAACAAAAGATATCGCTTCACACCTACTGGGATGATTAAAATCAAAAGGACATATAAGAAATATTGGTAAGGATGTGGAAAAACTGGAATCATACACTGCTGGTGGAAATGTAAAATGAATGAAAGATCAAGCAACTTTAAAAAACAGTCTGGCATTACCACAGTTATGCTATGACCCAGCAAATCCACTCACAGGTATATACTCGAGAGCTGAAAACATGCCCTTACAAAAAATCTGTACATAAATGTTTAAAACACAGTTTTTCATAAAAGCCAAAAAGTGATGAACCAAATGCCCATCAACTGATGAACAGAGGTGGTACATCCATACAATGGAATACTATTCAGCCATAAAAAGGAAAGGAGTGCTGATATATGTTGCGACATGAACCTTGAAAACATGCTAAGTGAGAGAAGCCAAACACAAAAGACCACATACTGCATGGCTGAATTTACATGAAATGTCCAAAACAGGCAAATCTATAGACCTGGAAAGAAGGTTAATGGTTGCCTGGGGCTGCAGGGAAGTGAGGAATGACTGCTAATAGGTATGGGATTTCTTTTTTGGGGTGATGAAATGTTCTGGAATTAAACAGTGCTGCTGGCCGCACAACACTGTGAATATACTAAAAAAAAAAATACTTAGTTGCACAGTTTTAATGGGTAAATGGTTTGGCTTGTGAATTGTACCTCAATTTTAAGAACTGAAAAGAAATAGCCATGCAAAGACCTGTACATAAATGTTCAAAGTAGCTTTTTATTTTCCTGTTTCTTTCTTTTTTTTTGCTATCATTAACATACAATTACATGAGCAACATTGTAGATTCCCCCCATTATCAAGTCCCCATCACATACCCCATTACAGTCACTGTCCATCAGCGTAGTAAGATGCTATAAAGTCACTACTTGTCTTCTCTATGCTATACTGCTATCCCCGTGCCCCCCCATTACATGTACTAATCCTAATGCCCCTTATTCCCCTTCTCCCTCCCTTCTCACACATGTCCCCCAGTCTCTTTCCCTTTGGCAACTATTAGTCCATTCTTGGGTTTTGTGAGTCTGCTGCTGTTCTGTTCCTCAGTTTTTGCTTTGTTCTTATGCTCCACAGATGAGTGAAATCATTTGATACTTGTCTTTCTCTGCCTGGCTATTACACTGAGCATAATACCCTCTAGCTCCATCCATGTTGTTGCAAATGGTAGGATTTGTTTTCTTCTTATGGCTGAATAATATTCCATTGTGTATAGGTACCACATCTTCTTTATCCACTCATCTACTGATGGACACTTTGGTTGTTTCCATTTCTTGGCTATTGTAAATACTGCTGCGATAAACACAGGGGTGCATATGTCTTTTTGAAACTGGGAAACTGAATTCTTAGGGTAAATTCCTAGGAGTGGAATTCCTGGGTCAAATGGTATTTCTAATTTTAGTTTTTTGAGGGACTTCCATATTGCTTTACACAATGGCTGAACTAGTTTAGCAGTGTAGGAGGGTTCCCCATTCCCTGCATCCCTGCCAGCATTTGTTGTTCCTATTTTCTATGTTGGCCGTCCTAACTTGTGTGAGGTGATCTCACTGTGGTTTTAATTTGCACTTCCCTGATAATTAGTGATGTGGAGCATCTTTTCATGTGCCTGTTGGCCATCTGAATTTCCTTTTTGGGGAAGTGTCTGTTCAGATCCTCTGCCCATTTTTTAACTGGATTATTTGCTTTTTTGTTTGTTGAGGTGCATGAGCTCTTTATGTATTTTGGATGTCAACTCCTTATCAGATGTCATTTATGAATATATTCTCCCATACTGTAGGATGCCTTTTTGTTCTACTAATGGGGTCCTTTGCTGTACAGAAGCTTTTTAGTTTGACATGTCCCACTTGTTCATTTTTGCTTTTGTTTCCCTTGCCCGGGGAGGTATGTTCATTAAGAATTTGCTCATGTTTATGTCCAAGAGATTTTTGACTATGTTTTCTTCTAACAGTTTTATGGTTTCATGACTTACATTCAGGTCTTTGATCCATTTCAAGTTTACTTCTGTGTACAGAGTTAGACAATAATCCAGTTTCATTCTCTTACATGTAGCTGTCCAGTTTTGCCAACACCAGCTGTTGAAGAGGCTATCATTTCCCCATTGTATGTCCATGGCTCCTTTATCATATTAATTGACCACACA